TGTCTCTACTTTAAAGAGTCCTCTCCTGCTGATGTTCAGGTGTTTATCAGTATGTAGTGTCTCTACTTTAAAGAGTCCTCTCCTGCTGATGTTCAGGTGTTTATCAGTATGTAGTGTCTCTACTTTAAAGAGTCCTCTCCTGCTGATGTTCAGGTGTTTATCAGTATGTAGTGTCTCTACTTTAAAGAGTCCTCCCCTGCTGATGTTCAGGTGTATATCAGTATGTAGTGTCTCTACTTTAAAGAGTCCTCTCCTGCTGATGTTCAGGTGTATATCAGTATGTAGTGTCTCTACTTTAAAGAGTCCTCTCCTGCTGATGTTCAGGTGTATATCAGTATGTAGTGTCTCTACTTTAAAGAGTCCTCTCCTGCTGATGTTCAGGTGTATATCAGTATGTAGTGTCTCTACTTTAAAGAGTCCTCTCCTGCTGATGTTCAGGTGTATATCAGTATGTAGTGTCTCTACTTTAAAGAGTCCTCTCCTGCTGATGTCCAGGTGTATATCAGTATGTAGTGTCTCTACTTTAAAGAGTCCTCTCTTGCTGATGTCCAGGTGTATATCAGTATGTAGTGTCTCTACTTTAAAGAGTCCTCTCTTGCTGATGTTCAGGTGTATATCAGTATGTAGTGTCTCTACTTTAAAGAGTCCTCTCCTGCTGATGTTCAGGTGTATATCAGTATGTAGTGTCCCTACTTTAAAGAGTCCTCTCCTGCTGATGTTCAGGTGTATATCAGTATGTAGGGTCTCTACTTTAAAGAGTCCTCTCTTGCTGATGTTCAGGTGTATATCAGTATGTTGTGTCTCTACTTTAAAGAGTCCTCTCTTGCTGATGTCCAGGTGTATATCAGTATGTAGTGTCTCTACTTTAAAGAGTCCTCTCTTGCTGATATTCAGGTGTATATCAGTATGTAGTGTCTCTACTTTAAAGAGTCCTCTCCTGCTGATGTTCAGGTGTATATCAGTATGTAGTGTCTCTACTTTAAAGAGTCCTCTCCTGCTGATGTTCAGGTGTTTATCAGTATGTAGTGTCTCTACTTTAAAGAGTCCTCTCCTGCTGATGTTCAGGTGTATATCAGTATGTTGTGTCTCTACTTTAAAGAGTCCTCTCTTGCTGATGTCCAGGTGTATATCAGTATGTAGTGTCTCTACTTTAAAGAGTCCTCTCCTGCTGATGTTCAGGTGTATATCAGTATGTAGTTTAAGATGCAGCTGGGATCAGTCTGGGCGGATGTGTTCAAACCTGTTTTGTTTATGCTTAACATGTCCCTATGGAGGCAATGTAAGAAGCTCTATCCATGCATGTTAATAACATATTAGCTTCACACAGACGGAGAACAACCAAGAGGTATAAACATGGAGCTGAAAGGAGATAAAACGCTCGGCACAGAGATAAAAAACCTATTCAAATATTTATATTTACCACAGTTACTGTTCAATATCTGCCTGGTAGAAGCATATCAGCAGCCAGGGCTTATAAACACTTACAGATATAAGATAAATATATATATTAATGCTAGAAGAAATGCATTAAAATATGTAAAAACGTAAACACTGTCTGAAGGGTGATCACTGAAGACTACAACTCCCATGATGCCACGCTGCAACAGATGATTCCTTGATAGATTAAAGATTCAAAGGTTTTATTGTCAGATGCACAGAAGTGCAGAAATGGCAATGATATTCTTCTGACCTGAGCAACAATGCAACATATATAATAAAATAGATATTTTTAGAAAAACCTCCCTGGTCCCCGGCTTGATCTTCATTCTCAGGATCCATTTGTTGGCTTCAGATTCAGATTTTTCCTAAAATTTCAGATTTTTCCTAAAAAATCTGACTTTTTTTCCTAAAAATCTCAAAATTCAGATTTTCTCACAAAATTCTGACTTTTTCTGAAAATCTCAAAATTCTGACTTTTCCGAACACTTAAAAATTTAGGAGAGAGAGCCAGCAAGATGTTCCAGATACACTGCTACTCTACCGGAGGAGGAGGAGGAGGAGGAGGAGGAGGAGGAGGAGGAGGAGGAGGAGGAGGAGGAGGAGGAGGAGGAGGAGGAGGAGGAGGAGGAGGAGGAGGAGGAGGAGGAGGAGGAGGAGGAGGAGGAGGAGGAGGAGGAGGAGGACAGAGTAACGATCATCAGAGTAGTACCTGAGTCGTGTTATCGTGGGAAGCTTGTGTGGTAGCTCTCAATACTCTCACTGAAACACTTGATATACAAAAGTAAATAACGTGTTCAAATTCTTAAACTGAGTGAAGCTTAAGAAGTGTTTAGTTTAAAGTACATTTACAGTTAAATGTGTATTTTATAACCATAGGTATATCAGTCCAGAGCAGAGGTTTAATAAATGAAGCAGGAGCTGATCAGAAGAAAAGACTACATGTAGCTAATACAGTATAACAGTAGAGATGTCAAGTCAAAGGTCAATCTGCCAGTATCTGATTCGTCACATGTTGTTTAAGTAAAGTTGTAATTGTAGTTTGTGCTACACATAGTAAGAAATTGCAAGAGTTTGTTGTCATTTTAATGACGGTGGAGTTTCTCAGGCTCCGGCAGCAACTTCGTGAGCCGTGGCAAAATCTTTGGCATGCCAACAAATTGCCGAAGGACCTTGAGAAGGTTTATTTTTAGTGTTGAATTTGTGTGTCCATGTTGCCCTTCGTAAGGCACTCGGGAGGGCATCTTGTCAAATCGTGTCATCATCGTCTGATCTTCGTGTGATCATCGGTGCCATCGGGCATTTTTTGCCTCACGAAGACAAAACAAAGGAAACAAGAAGCTGCCCGATTGTCTCAGGAAGGCAACACGACTACGTGAAGCCCTCGCGATTCCGTCGTGTAGCCATCGTATCATAGTACGATGACATCGAGATGGGACCACGGTGTGCAATGTTTCCTTGCAGATCGCTTCTCTGGTTGTTTTATTGCACAACAAAATCATGTAAACAGATTATGTAAATAACCCAATTTGTGTTCTGTGAAACTGAAAAGGATATTACTTTGTTTTTGTTACTTTCGTTGCAGTTGTACGTCTTAAATGTAATTTAGGTTAACTTCCTGTTTTATTTAGATGCTTTTATTTTAAAGGCGAGTTTATGCTGTTGACAGGTAGTTGTTGTTGCTATGGAAACAACATGACAGAGAAAACTTAATATCTTCTACATATAAAGACGGAGAAAGTAAAGAACAAAGTCTGAACATATCAGTACAGTATCAGAGTACTTTAACATAATTGTTTTTGTTGCTTTCGATGCAGTTGTTTGTCTTAAATGTAATGTAAACGTTGCCTTCGTTCTGTAGGCATCGTACTTGCTTCTGCTGTTGCCTGGCTGTTCGGGGCCATCTTCGGCCTTTAGGCTCCCACATTGATGTGCTGATAGAGATAATGTCTCTGCTGTGTTCTGATCTCCTGTTCACTCTTCTGTTGAGATCTCCATATCAGGATGAATACTTAAAACGAAAGTTAGTTATAATTGAATATAGTCAATTATATTCTTATATAACCCACAATGAGAATGCTTCATATTTTATGATTTTCTATATTTACAGTATAAACAAAACACAAGTGGTTTGTTAAGTTGAGTGTGTAAGGCCTGTAATGGTTTCACTGATAAGGGAGAGACAGTTTTTTCCCTCTCCTCTCACAGCAGTACACAGGGAGGGGGGCTCCTGACTTAAGGAGAAAAAGGATGGTTATGTCATAGCCATAGAATATGTCTGGTCATGTCCAGTCCTGTACATCAGAGGCCATGCCCAGTTTCCACAAATATGGGTGTGGAGGAGGTGTCTTAGGTTTTTCTATCCTGTTGTTAAGCATAAAGACACTGGCGGAGAGGGAGCGAGCGAGAGAGGGGGGGGGGGGTTCCCCTGGTATACTCTCTCCCGGTAAACTCTGTCCCTCAGAGCTGGGTTTTTGCTCTCGGTAAGGTTCTCTCGAGCTGGGTAACTATTGCTTAAATCTCTGGGTATTGAATGCTGAGGAAATGGTTTAGACAAAGCATTCTTTAAATGTGATGGACTTCTTAGACAAAGCATTAATACATTAGTTGGACTTCTTAAGCCTACCATTCTTAAATGTGTCAGGATTTTAGAACTAATTAGAGATTCCTTTTGAATTTCGTCGGAAGACTTTAATGGGTGAACTATGAATTAAGGTTTTAGATTAGAACATGATCACAGCATGATATGTTTAGTATGATTATAATGTTGTAAAGAGAGAAGGTAAAAACCCTGTATTAGTTTGGACCAATTTCTCTTCAAATAAACTGATCCCACCTTTTGGACTGGGATAACTTAAAAGACATCTGCGCTCTCCTCTCCTGCTTCAAAGGTAAGATTGCACCCTGCCACACACACACTTAGGTAGGGCCACACCTCATTACTGATATCAAAATCCTTCGGGATCGCTGAAACAGATTTAGCGGGTTGTCTGAATAGAAACGGCAGTTAATTGAACCTGGTTCTTCAGGAGTTAATAGAGGTGAGATCTTGCTGACGTTGGTGGATCTGAGCCAAGCAGTAAACTTACATAGACTCAATAACTTTGGTCAGGTCAGTTAGTAGGTCAGAGTAATTTACCGGAATAAATTATCAGCCCTCACCAACTCTTACTCTTCTCTCCTCATTACTTCAACCCTTAAAGTCTAAACCATGTTGAAATATTATCATTACTGATGTCTTAAAGAGAAAACGAAAGGCACGTTAAACTGATGATGTTTCTCCTGGAGTCGGTTGAATGTTGATGCTTTTAAGCTGCGACTCAAGTTTAGTAATTCATTTCAATCAAAGTAATAATTGTTTAACCTTCTTTTGAATTAGTTGTTATGCATATCCAAAATGGAAAACATCAAAACATGTTACCGTTGTGTTTTTTGTTTTACACTTTCACTTTTTAAATGTTTCGAGTTACATCCAAATGAAATGACAAAAGAAGACAAAACATGGATTACATGTTTACAGATGAGCGAGCTGTCGTAGCTCAAATAAAACAGTTCAGTCAAAAGATTTTAAAATACTTTACTTCACTAAAGTACACATCACTTCTCAAGTACTTATTTTTTACTTTTTACTTCATAGCATGCACTGGACAACCTTCGTTAGTAGCTACTTAACAAATACACATTTTTATAAAGAAAGTGAAGAGAATATGAAATGTGATGTTTAGGTAGAAATGAAACACAGCAGTTCATTGAAGTGCTGCTGACACAAGATGTTCATTGAAGTGCTGCTGACACAAGATGTTCATTGAAGTGCAATATTATGAATAAGTCAAAAAGCTAAAAGCTGCGATGGTTATAATATTATACGTCATATCATTAGATTATTGTGACCGATGCATCCATGTCATTTTGCTGTTGGAGTTCGCAGGTGGAGCTCATTATCACATGTGTTTGAGTGCAATGCAAGCAATGGATATTATCATTTATGGAACCATCTGCAGAAACCATTTCTCCATCATTTGAATGATTGATTTGTAAATGGTGATAATATGGAGAAATGCTGTCACTATTACTCAGAGCCCAAAATGAAAATGTCACTTATTTTGTGCGAATCCAGTTCCATTATAGTTTGAAATAGAACTTCTGTTCTTAATCTTTCAACACATTCAAGAAGCTGCATTTTAATGTTTGCATGGCTGTGTATATTATTTGTATAAGAGCTTTATTAAAAAGCACCCTGCTCCACGTTCTGCATCCTGTACTGAGATAGATAAACAGGCTGAGTTAGGGGTCTTCTGGTTTCTCACAGATACTTCTGTGAGGGTCTTCACAGGATTTATCAAACCAACACTTCAGGTCTGACGCTCCACCTCTCTCCCCCATCCTCGCACAATCCTCTTCCATAGTATCGTTCCCTTTATAGTTGTCTGGCTCTCCGGTGGACCAAAAAGCCAAACTGAGGTTTGAGGAAGAGAAAGATGTGATTTAATCAAACTGATGACTTTGATATTGGACATTTAAAAACATGTGTTTACAACAATCAAACCTCCTGTCCAGTGCTGAACCGTCTGTCCACAGCCATGCTCCCTCTGTCACTGAGTCCGTCAGTCCGATCCAGAACTTGTCCTCATCTCCAGTCATTTGAACTCTCACTTTCTGCTGCAGGAATGTCTGGACAGCAAAAACAAATCTGTTGAATAACTTCTCTGAGCTAACTAATGCAGAAACAAAGTGTTGAATGGTGACCCTGCAGCAGTGTGTTCTACCTGCTCCTCTCTGCTCTCGATCTGAACCAGATCTCCTCCTGTACGTCTGCATTCAGCTCTGCTCTGTGTCCAGGTTGCTTTAATGATGGAGAGATAATAGCATTTCCCTCCATGACGCTCCCAGCTGTCTGGGCATCTTTTACATGAGCCCCCTTCAAAGAGATCAGAGCAAAGTCTTTAGTCAGACGACACACATCTGTTTTATGTGTGTGACAATCTGTCACTTCCTCATCAGAAGAGCAAACATGTGAGAAAGTAAATCCATCACTGACTGTTTACTGCAGGGCACGTTGGCTCCGGTTTGCAAGGTTTTACTGCCGAGAATCTCTCTGTTGTGGAAAAAGATACAAAAGATTTCACCTTAATCAGAGGTGTCTCTTAGTTGAGAACCTGAACGGAGATCTTCCATGGTTCACGCAGTCGAGACACAAAGATGAATGTTTAACAGAACAATATGAGTGTTCAAACATTTGAAAGAGATCTGGATGTGGACGAAGTTTACCTGTGAGGTTTTTCATCTCAGCGCCACGCTCATCTGTCATCTTTCGGAGACGTTCTATGGTTTGGATGTTTTGATGAGCTGATTGTTAAAAAGGAGAAAGACAAGTTTTAAGAGTCTGTTCATTAGAGGAGAATCATTCCAACATATATAGTAATGTTAAGGAGAGGTAGGTACACATTGAAATGCCAAATAGATTGAAAACATGACGTTGAAAATTCTCCAAACTAATTTGAGTGATTTTAAATTGAGAAAGGAAAATGAAAGCATCAGTTAATTACCACGAATCTGTTCAGATGAATTTAACTTCAAGCTGTTCTGTTACACATGTTAGCAGAGATCGCCTGAAGCCAGCAGTTCTGTTCTTCTGAACAAGGTTCAAGGTTCTTTATTTGTCATACGAACATAGCTATAGTTATGCCGATGGAATTCTTAGGTCACTGGCTTCTCTAACAGAGCAACACAATAACACAGATACACAGAAAAATATAGTGCAAGTAAATATTAAATATAAAAAGAAAAATAGTTTTAAAAAATAGTGCAATAAGAGTCTCTATGCTATATACAACCCAGTCTCATGGCATTTCGTGTTCACCAACACGATTTTTAATCTATTGATTCATGTTCACCAACACGATTTTTCCCTTTTTTTCGTGTTGCACAGCACGATTTTAAAAGCAATGTATTTCTACTGGTAATGACGCTCATGGAAGCACGGCATTCGTTTGTGTCGACTGCCCTTAAAGGCAATGTGAGCGTCCATTCTCATTGGATAACGGAGAATTGTACAACCGGAAGTAAGTATTCCCCTTACTGTCGATTGATTTTACAGTGATATCTGCACTACTCATCGACTAGAAAACACCAGATTATCCTTGTTAATTACACAACATTGATTGGTTTAAATTGTGTGCAATGCTTTTGTATTTTTCCCCTTCGATTCGGAGAAACAAATGTTTTTTCGGAGTAAAGGATAGCAGAAGACACTACACTACCCAGAATCCCCAGCTATCATTTAGGACTACACCATGTGCTCTGTTTGACAAACCCTGTGATAGTCCTCAAGCTCTGTGATTGGAGAGTGTGCTCCGAGGGTTACGACGAGCCTCGAACAGCACTTGAAATGGGAGACTGTCCAAAACTGGATTTGAACGGGTCATTACATTACATTACATTTATTGATAAGCCTGAAACATGCACTTGTCAAGGTTCAGAGGCAAATTTTGCAAATATGGCAGTAGCCATCGATCAGCTTAAGATATACTTTATTGATCCCAAGTTGGAACATTTGCGTTACATCAGCATGTGTAACAGTTGTAAATATGCAGTGGTGTTTATTTGTAAATCATTTAGTATAATCACACAAATTCTGTGTTTTATATTGAACAATTCTGTGTTCTTTATTTATTGATTGTTCAATACCTGACAAGGCCGGAGATGAAATATCTACATACATCTTATAAGAGTATAATACATTATGTATAATATCAGTTAAAATAAGTGCTTCAACATAGTTAACATTGCTGGAGGTATGCACAAATATTGATAGATATCTTGTAATGCTATTGAGGAACCTGCGACCCAAGTTTTTCATTCAATGCAGAACTACACCATAGTTGTGTGGGCCTATATGATATGTCAATAAACCTTAGAAAATCTTGAAAGGGATGTGCAAAATAGTCATTATATACAGTCTTTAATGAACTATTAGTAGAAAATAACGAGTAATGAATATACTTTATAAGGATCCTATTAATATCTAATAATAAAAATAATGAAATTCAATAACATGCTTTAACCACTAGGTGTCCCTTTATATCAGCTGTGCACCTTTATGGTGTAAATACAGCCTATCTACCAATTGGATCAAATATAAAAGTCAGCCGAATTAGTGTTGATACTGCAAGGAGACGTATTGTGTGAAAAATAAATGTCAAATGCCGTGCTTCCATGAGCGTCATTACCAGTAGAAATACATTGCTTTTAAAATCGTGCTGTGCAACACGAAAAAAAGGGGGAAATCGTGTTGGTGAACACGAATCAATAGATTAAAAATCATGTTGGTGAACACGAAATGCCATGAGACTGGGTTGCAATATATGTATGATATATTAGATAAATAATGACTAAGTAGCAGATGAATGTTATGGATGTTGTTTCAGCAGTTCAGGAGTTTAACAGTCTGGATGGAAGAAACATCAGATTTAAATCTCGTTCTTAATTCATTGAGTTTGAAAAGAAACTCACAGGTTACTCCGAGAGTGACGAGAGAAGCTGCCAGGAGAACGCTGAGAACAATCACAGCCGCTCTCTCTGAGGTGACTCTACATCGTGGAGCTGACTCAGACTGCTGCTGGGAACCTGTTGAGGACAGACAGAGACTCTGGATCACTTACACTCTGAACATGTCGGGAAATTAAAGAAGACTTGAACGGACTGCGTTTTCATTTTTTAAAAAGAATACTGATGAATATTTTAGGCGAGGCAAGTTTATTTATATAGCACTTTTCAACACAAGGCAATTCAAAGTGCTTTTACTCATATTTTGTTTTTTATAGCAAAAAAAACACTTTATTTGAAGAAGCGTTTTGAGGCTCGGATATTACATTTTTATTTATTTTATTTGTATTATATTTATTTATTTATTTGCACATTTTACTTTTTTATTAAGTTTTTTGATGAAATGTTTACAAAGGCAGTGTGATCAAATGTTAACTTTTAGTGAAGGAGTAAATCCTAATCCAAAGAAATGTCACAGTAAAGTAGAGGAGCAAACCAGCCCAAAGTCCTGACCAGTGGACGAGTCACTTGTGTTTGTGTTCGTGTCCTGTTTTAAGGACGTTTTAAAGAAGCTGTTAAAGTCAAACCCCACTCACAGGTTCACACGAGACACATCCGCTTTCAGAGTTTCCTTTGTTGGACATGTTGGAGCCAATAGTTTTTCAAAATGTTATGAATGCAGTCCATAAATCAGAAACATACTGTCACCAGAAAAACCTAAATATATTCCAATATGGACAAAGTTGTAAAAATGGACCTAATAAAGTGACCACGTAACTATCACAGTTAATTAGCTGAATTAAGATTATATGTTTGTATTACTAGTTTATTTTAAATGTTGAAAAGTGCAAATGGGGCATTATCTAATGCAAACGTTTATTTGTTCTCAGTAGAAATCGAAGTATAGTTAAATTAAAATAAAATGTAACTATTATGGCAGATTCCTTATTACAGCGTGTTTCTCTCTTAATATGAAGGTAACAGGTCAGAGAGGCTCCATCGTCTCTTTGCCATTATCAGCAGATGTACCCATGTTAGGTACATTGGCAAAGGTCAGAGGAAGTCCAAGGGATGTCTTCCTCAGATATAATACAGTTAGTCTAAAGCTAGTGGTTCATCAGCTGAGAAACGATAAGGATGTTGGTGTCTTAGTTAATGTAAAGAAATGTATGTGTGCTCATGTGCAGACGTGTATATAGTTTGTTAACCCTTAGATGCATAAGTGGGTCTTTTTTGACCCGGTGAGGTGGTTTTCTTGAAGTATCTTTGTAATTACATTTTCTTATCATTTCATATTCCAGCTATTCCTCAAAAAACATGTTTTGGATATCATGCCATTCAAATTCTTAATTTACATTTTAAGAAATTGTAGTGTTTGTATTTCTACCCCAAGCTTCCACAAGTGGGTCAAAAATGACACGCATGCATTTTCTATGGAATCCTTTTTTTTCTTCAAAATGTAAAAAAAAATTCTAAAATTCTAAATAGTGAAAAATTAAATATAAAATATTTCTAGCGTGAACCAAAATATAATACTAAATATTATACAAGTGATTTGTCTTCACCAAAATGGCATAAAAACACATAATTCTAATACGGGTCCTTTTTGACCCACTTATGGAAGAGTGTAGAGTCCAGTCACTCTAAGGGCATCGAAGGGTTAAATGGATCATTTATATCCTGCAAGACTCCTAAAGACGTCATGAGATGATGACCTTTCGACATCTGGAACATGTCCAAGTTTAGGAGACCTGACAATGTGTGCGTTAAACATGTTTAGGGAACATGTTGGTGTGTCATTTAGAAACGTATATCTGCCCTGTGTGTCTGGTGTTCAGGGGAGCATTGCTGTTTGAGGGCTGGAGGGCAGGTCATGTTTCCCCATTGGTGTTTGGTGTCAACTAAATCATAATGATTAATCTCAACTGTGTTTGTGTTTCATTGATTCCTCTCTGTTTCATTCTTTCCTGTTGTGAGGGTTGATCTGCCTCAACATAACAATTAGAGATGTTTCTTTCAACCAGTCTGAATGTTATGGAAGCAAAGAGCACAAACTCTTGAGTATAGCTTTTTCTGCGTGATCTTGTTTTGAGGAACTTTGGAAGTAAAACCACATTTTACACGTTCACGCCCTGGGGACCGTTTCTCACTCACTCCTTTGAGCTGTTTTCTTTTACATTATTCTTGTCTGACTGTCCTTCAATACTTCAATACACTTTATTGATATGTTATTATTCATCCCCCAGGGAGTCTCTTCTCAGACACATATGATTCCTCTGAATGAAATGATTGAAATGTTCACTCAGCCAGTGGAGCTGCGACTGAACACAGCACGAAGACACAAATAGAAACGGGAAACATGAACACCAAGAAATGACCAGCATTTATGTTGAAATGATTTGGTCATGGTCAGTTCCATGTTCTGAATCAGTTCATTGTACAGTCAATTACTCGACCAACAAAGTCCTCTCTTTATTAAGTGAGACATGTTTTTATTTCTATCTTACAAAAGTATAAAATGTTACTATAACTGATTTTAATTCTTAAAGATCAGATGAACATTTAAACTCAGGCGTGACAGCAATGAGAATGAAACACAAATTACATCTTAATATTTACCTCAAAGTTAGTCTTTACACATTGGCCCTTAAAATGACTCCTTAACCTTCCACACACAGTAGCATTTATTTCACTACAGTCAAATATTCCAGAAGGTTTCTGAAATGAAGCTCAGCGTAAGTTCAACCAGGAAGTCCGTCTTTACTCTTCATTTACTATGTCCATGTTACTACTCTCTCTCCTCTCAATAAGTGATCGGGGGCTTCACTCCCCAGCTTAACCAATCACTTCGCTCTATTCTCACAAGCCTATCATAGCGCTCCGCTAACCCTTTTTAAATCTGCTCTCCCCCCTCTGACAGCTGTCATTCCAGGTGACTCGACGCAACCCTCCTCCCCCCTTTTCACCTCCTGTCCCTCTGAATCCAGGGTCAAGCTAAGCCCCTCCCCTTCAGACCGACCCCAACTATCCATTCACCACCACCAGGGTCAAGCTAAGCCCCTCCCCTTCAGACCAAACCCAACTATCCATTCACCACTACCAGGGTCAAGCTAAGACCCTCCCCTTCAGACCGACCCCAACTATCCATTCACCACCACCAGGGTCAAACTAAGCCACTCCCCTTCAGACCGAACCCAACTATCCATTCACCACCACCAGGGTCAAGCTAAGCCACTCCCCTTCAGACCGAACCCAACCATCCATTCACCACCACCAGGGTCAAGCTAAGCCCCTCCCCTTCAGACCGACCCCAACTATCCATTCACCACCACCAGGGTCAAGCTAAGCCACTCCCCTTCAGACCGACCCCAACTATCCATTCACCACCACCAGGGTCAAGCTAAGCCACTCCCCGTCAGACCGAACCCAACCATCCATTCAACACCAGGGTCAAGCTAAGCCACTCCCCTTCAGACCGAACCCAACCATCCATTCACCACCACCAGGGTCACCACCAGGGTCAAGCTAAGCCCCTCCCCTTCAGACCGACCCCAACTATCCATTCACCACCACCAAGGTCAAGCTAAGCCACTCCCCTTCAGGCCGAACCCAACCATCCATTCACCACCACCAGGGTCAAGCTAAGCCACTCCCCTTCAGGCCGAACCCAACTATCCATTCACCACCACCAGGGTCAAGCTAAGCCACTCCCCTTCAGACCGAACCCAACCATCCATTCACCACCACCAGGGTCAAGCTAAGCCCCTCCCCTTCAGCCCGAACCATTCACCACCACCAGGGTCAAGCTAAGCCACTCCCCTTCAGACCGAAGCCAGCTATCCATTCACCACCACCAGGGTCAAGCTAAGCCCCTCCCCTTCAGACCGACCCAACTATCCATTCACCACCACCAGGGTCTAGACCCCGGGGGGTTTCATCTGATCGGGTCTACCCTCCCGAATGATACTCCTGCACAACGGGGCCTAATCGCCAAAATCACCTTTACATTCATTTGTGTATTTCTGCAATACATATGTATTCTTTCATCAAAACCGTCTCTCCTGATTGAACTGACACATCAGGATGCAATAGTTTAAAGACACATTTCATGAAATACTTTAAATGAATGTTATTTCTTTTTTCTGGAATATATATTTTTGCTCACAATACAATCTATCTTAAGAATGAAGTTGCCATTCTTTAGGTTTTATTTATATAGATATCCATTTCTTTGTTTTAGTTTCCAAGACTGAGCACTCACATAACTTGGATTGATACATTCACATGTTTTGTTGTTGTATGTTCTTGATGGCCTCCTGACTCCACGGACTGGAGGTTACTTATGTTCACTTTTGTAATGTATTAATATGTGTTATCACTCACCAGGAAGCTCTGTGGATGGCTGCTTCTCCAAGATCCTGACCGCAGAGTAGATGGTGTCAGCCGCTGAGGATGCCCTGCCTGCAACCCAACAACACTTTCTGTTCAATGAGCTCTGATGTACTCACTGCTGATAATGTGTGAGTATAAACATTCACATTTCACTCAAACTGCAGAAACACATGCGTCTTTTAAGTTCTTAGAAACTCCTTGAAAGTAATGTAATGTATGTAATGTATAGAAATATAGATAGATGGATAGATGAATGAACATATTTTTGACTCACCATCGTTGTTTCCCTTGTCTCGTTTGAACTTTACATCAGAGTACAAAACTTCAGCTTCAGGCATTTTATCGCTGTGATCATCACGTCTTTAAAAGGGAACTAAAGGAACGCTTCACTGCACGCTGCTAAATTAAGAAAAAGCTAGGGTAGGGCTTTATACAGAGTTCCTCAAAATCTAACTATTTTGTAAATGAGTTATTGGTTTGTATTTTTACTGCCAGTTAAATAAATAAATGATTTGATTTGATTTGTTTAGTCAAGATAACTTCAGTAAAATTATATTTGTGAACATTTTTGTCAATTTATTTGGATTTCTTCACAAATACAAAGAAAAAAAGGAAAAACTAAATATAATGAAATAATACAAAATATTAATAATAATCAAGCAACTAATCAGAAGAAAACATTTGACTGAGAAAACAAAAACCTTAATTATATCATCCTCAATTGTTTCACGTTTTTTTATTTGTATTATAGTTTAATTTAAGAAAAGAAAATAAACATTCCTGATGGAATCCATGTCGGGTATTACACAGGAGCCGTCACCCAGATTTCCTCCAATCAACGCTCACAATTAGTGACAGAGCAGTGCTGCGGCCAATCACAACAGCATTAGGGGGCGGGGTTTGGTTGCTGTAGCAGACAGGAGGCGGAGAGACGTGTCTTTTCCTGGCTGAACTTGTGTGACGTGTCAGTTGGACGACAGACAGACTTTATTAAAGTGTCTGCCCTGCTGGTGTCCCGCTCCAGACATGGCCCCCAGCGCGCAACTGAAGGACGCGATGTGCAGGAGGGGATCCGTGCCATCCTGCTCGGACCCCCCGGAGCCGGGAAGGGGCCCCAGGTGAGAGGAGGGGAAGGCTTCTCATTTCTCTATTTACCCTCCTTGACTCCCCTCCTCGTGTCTTAGTCCCGCCCACAGGAGATGCGAGCGGAGGAGTCAAGGAGGGGAGCCGAGGAGAGAGGAGGGGAACCGAGGAGAGAGGAGGGGAAGCAGCAGGCGGTTAGAGAAATGAGAACTCCTCTCCTCTGAGCGGTCATTTTAAAGAGACGTCCATTAATGATGACAGGAGGCAGCAGCCCTCTGTCTGATGGACAGATGTGTTCATGACGACTTATATATTTACTTTGATTCATTCACAGTGCGGTATAATGAGACAATAACAGGCTACAGATGCGGACACACACACACATATATATATATATACAATTTCAGAATCAAACAAGTATGAGAGCACTCTCATAATAAGGTAACACAATCAGAGACTGGATATATCCCCCCCCCCCCTCTCTGGTCGCTACAATGAGGAAAATAAATTAATAATAAAATGCAATAACGTTCTTCAACCACCAGGTGTCCCTTTATATCAGCTGTGCACCGTTATGGTGTAAATACAGCCTATCTACCAATTGGATCAAATATAAAAGTCAGCCGAATTAGTGTTGATACTGCAAGGAGACGCATTGTGTGAAAAGAAATGTAAGATGTTGTTTAATTGCTGATATATTTATGATCCACGTCACGTTTTCAGTTTTGGCGGCAGTTCCTCATGTTTGTCTAGAAGTCTTCTCATCAGGGCTCTATAAATAGAGAACTACGGCAGATATGTAATATTTGATGCAGCCGAACCGTGTATTACAATGCCGTTATGTGATGACTTTCAAAGAGAAAAGCAAGCACACTCGGAATAAAGTATTATTTTATTTTTAAAACGTTTTCAGATTTCACATCACATAAACACCAAATCCCAGCATGCATTGCGGCTAAACCATCCAATCAGCGAGCTGAGGACCTTGCCTACGTCTGTTTCCGGTTTAGTTTATCAGCGATGTATTTTGTACACACATTCCTTCACATTTACATTTTAATTTGCATTAAAGTATTTCGTGAGGCTTTCTAACATGTTTTTAAATATAACTACGGTTGTAGTTGAATAGTTTGTAAATTAACATGAACCGAAGCTGTTGCCTGGCAACGCAATCGCACAACGTCACGTCCGTTAATTCCACATCCACACGCATGGATTAACATCGATTTAATACACCTTTGTTTCTGCTAAAAGAGGAGTCGACCAGCTGGGGCAACAAGAAAATTGGGTGTGACTATTCAAAAATAAATCATTATTATATTACTATTGACAATAACTGCTGTAGTGGCCAAAATCCCAAAAAGTTTGTCTTGTAACCTTCACCTCAAAAGTGATTGTTCTTGGCCACATGTAGAGCTTGGGCCTCGGAAGCAGTGTCAGACTCGCAGTACACAATCCACTGGACGTTTCGGTTGCTTTTCAAGGTTTATTTCCAGCAAAACAAAATACGAAAACAATATTTAACATAAACTTAAACAGCAGATCCTAATAATCTGTATTTGACTATAAGGTTGCGTCTGCGTGTCAATGACGGTATTGCTGCTGCCTGCTGCTCTCCCGTCACACACCGCACCTCCAACTTAAATCCCCGCCCCCTTCACCTGAGCAAAGCACACCTCTCACTGAAACAGAAAAATGCATTAATAAAGGTTCCAAATAAATCAGAACAAAATCAACTTAAATGCGGCTCCTACAACAACCGACCGTCGGGGTAGCATTTGCTTGGCATTTCCGGTTATTTCTCCACTGGTTAACAATACCGTGTAACTGTCACGTTTGAAGGGACGAAATTGTGACATCTTCACGTCTCCCAGCATGTTAAATCGTCACATGTTCTTGTTCACGTCTTGCCGTGATACCGGGTTGATTTGAGAAGTGGACCTAATCCCTGTATGTCACCCATTGATTTGTGGACTTTGGTTTTGTAGCCTTCAGTTTGACCTTTTTAAGAAAAAGCCCATAATTCCTCACAATCAAAATATAGTTTAATAGCTGTTTTATTGTTTTAGGTAAGATTACACTTTATTACAGGACAGGTACTGAGACAACAATATGTAGTTGGCATCTACAGAAATGAAAAAAGGCCAGAGTATGTTAACAGCATTTGTAGACATTAACATTTTTAGATCTACTGTTTAAGTTCATTACATTCATCATTTTAGTTTTTGTACTTTGCTGGTCATGTGACGAGGAACAACCAATCACAGCGGAGATAACTTAAAAAAAACACAGCCACACAAATGATTATGATGCCTGAGGAAATGTTTCTCGCCGCTCTCCGTAGCCTACTGTATGACTGCGGCGGGGCGGGAAATGTAGCGTTGTACCTACACTTCCTACAGCGTAACCTGAGACCAGGGCCGGCCCATTGCACTGGCGTTATAGTTGTTCGTCTAGGGCGCCAGATCTGTGGAGGCGCTGCGCTGACAGCTCTGGCAGGGGGAAAACATGTTTTGACCGTTGGTGCTAATCCTAATTTTCAGCCTTGATGTAACAACATTCATAATTAAGTAAATGTAACACCCTTTTCATCCCGGTTACACTTTTCATTTGCCCCATACGATGGGCGCTGTAAGTGATGAAAATGGGGGATGTTGGCTTATCTGGCAACCGCAGCTCACAGCCAAAGTGCGAGTGAGCGTGGGAGCGAGCGAGAAAGGGAGGGCGCTGTTGTTATTAGCATCTGGTGCTAGCTGCTCTAACGGAAGAAGAAGAAGAAGATGTTTCTACAATGATGTGGAGGGAGAGTCCTCTCCAGTCAGACTGAGAGGCTGATGACTCAGTGAGGTAAAGGACTCAGAGTGTTTAGATAATTCACTTTAGTCTAAGTTATCTCAGTGGGTCTCAAACGTTTTGATCACAATTTCTGTAAACACATATTTCCAAGGCACTCCTTTATAATTATTGGGATAAAACAGGTTTGAAATCATTCCAATGTATACTATAGGACAGTAAACCAGACATATCGTTTTAAACTGGAGAGATAAAAAACATATGCATAAATAAAATAGTTAAATAAGATATGAATGAACAACAAAAATAAAATACGTTACATGTATTTGTTATTGGCTATGGTAGGTTATTGGTTATGTTCACATACTTATTTAATTATTAAAATGTAAACCGATCTTTTTCATATGGGTGTTTGGAGTTGTACCCCCTAGATCTAGTCTCTAGTCATTCTGCTTAAAGTGCACCAGATTGAAGCATTTTACTTTAAAATGTTCAAACATTTCTTCCCGGTATGCCTGAGAAGGCAGATATGCTTGTTTTTCTCAACAAGAACTGTTCTTTAAATGGGGGGGGGGGTTCCTTTAAAAGTTGCATTGTTGTAGCTTCAGTGGTTCTCAGGTTACAGTTACATAGCAGTGAATATAAACAGACTGATTAAGGTGAATATTACTGTAAACTAACCTGTATAAAAGTTTCTCGAATAAATGTAATTTTTTTTGGTGGAAGAAGCATGTATCATTTTTTTACCCTGCCCCTCAAAGAATCGGAATTGAGAACCGTTAAGAACCGGAATCGAAAAGTAGAATCGGAATCGAAAAGTAGAACCGGAATCGAAAAGTAGAATCGGAATCAGAATCGTGGAAATTCAAACAATACCCAACCCTACAAATGATAGAGCAGGTTAAATGTCTTAAAGTCCCTATGTTTAACGATGTAATGGTAATAACGCTCTGTATTGCTAATGTGTGAACAGATCGTAATGACATTTTAAAACTGGGACATCTACACATATTATTGAGTGTTCTGCTATCTGTACAATTATATTGTTTAAGTGACTTGTGTGCGATGTTGTGATGCCCCTGTGGTCATCAGTAGAGAGGAGGTGGCTGTCCTGTCTGTGCTGTGGTGATTGCATTGATTGCAGTAACTCAGGGCACCTGGGTCTGGTGCCCTGCAGCTGTTTAAAGCCTCTCTGCTCCTCTCTGTGCTCTCTCTGCTTCTCCCTGCAGGCACCCCGGTTTTTGTTGAGTATATTATGAGTTTCTTCAGTTGCTTTACTTTGTGCACTTCAACACTCTCACACACATACATGTCCATACAATCCTCACCCTGCATTTACATTACTGATACCACTGACATCCACACCTCATACTTTACTGGTGTTGACTTGATTTGATTTGTTTGTCCTAAATAAACATATTTTGTTAACCATCGACATCGACATGGTGTGTCTCCTCTTTGTTGTGGCCTTTTGAGCCGGGTCATAACAGATGTTAATGTTATTTACGCTATCTGATGGTGACAGTAATATTAGAGCAAAGTAAGAAGTCTTAGATAAATGCTGTGAAACGAAAAAGTGTTTGGACTCTATTGAAGCAGCTTTGCATGTTTTCTACTTGCTGTACTTTTGGTAATGCAACTGACTAGAGTAAAGTTCTCGCTGAGGAAACACCGCTCTCACTCTCCTGATTATTTGTCCCATTTATCAGGCCGTAAAACATGCTGGAGAAAAACTGCTGAAAAATATGTTGGACAAGACTTCATATCGACCAGTTTTATTCTATCATAGCCGGACTCTTACTGTGAGTTACAGCTTACTTCTGATCAGCAGATGGAGGTCGTCCTTTAAAGTTCATGAAGTCGTCCTTCGAGGAGTCGCTCTTTAGGGACAGACAGCTGCGAGAGTCTGGTCTCTGCTGCTGGACCCTGAAACAGAAACAGATGCATCAAGAGAAGAAGAAGGAGCTCTTCATCGTCCCACAGAGGGGAAATGTACATTCTGCATTTGATCCATCCTAGTGTTAGGAGCAGTGGGCTGCCATATGTACGGCGCCCGGGGGGCAGTGGAGGGAACGCTGCCTTGCTCAGGGACACCTGGGTAGCACTTGGTCTTCCGGGGTCTTGAACCAGTGACTCTCTGGTTCCCAAGCCAAGTCCCTACGGACTTTGCCACCACCGCCCATGCATTGAACCGCTGGAGAAAAACTGATGAAAATATGTTAAATCTAAAGTCACTCTTTCCAATGTAATGGTATAAATCACTCTGTGTTGCCCAACAGATGAACCTTCCAGACTTT